TCCCCACATTATTCTGGAGAAGCTCCTGGAACCAGTGTCCTGTCACAGCATAGTCCATTTCTCCCACCACCGGCCTCATTTCTTGTGCACAAGAGGCCTCTGCTGGAAGAAGCAGAACTTTTTGCACAATCACTCAACAGCTGGCATGCCTCTTGCTACTCAACATTTTTGCTTCAATAAAATTTGAAAGATGCTTACCAAAAAAAGGGGGAGGGAGGAGATGAAAACTTCAGCTGTTGGCCTGAATTTTTCTCCTTCACCTCAAGTTGCAAGGAAAACATAAGACTCCTAGGCCTGATCATTCCGGCCATAGCCAACTTTATCCTTTGAGAAATAATAATTATAAGCTGGCATTTATTACTCATTTACCCACCCTAGGCGTTGTATATCCTTTATCTTATTTAATCCGCACAATCCTATGAGATAGTAATTACTATTAATCCATCTTAAAGGTAAGGAAACTGAGGCTTAGAAGTTAAGTGATTTGTCCAATTTCAATATATGTTGGAGCCAAACTTGCATGTTGGAGGTTCAATATCAGAGCATGAGCCTATGGACACTGCACCACACATGGCTTTCATGTGTATATGTGTCTGCACACACACACACACACACACACACACACATATACACACACACATACACACATGCATGCACACGTTTTAGATTTTTGACAAAATCCAGTTCATTGTATTTGCAAGGCTGACTAGTTAATCTTTTAGTTCAAGCACCAAAAATGTGGATAGGGAAGCATGCCAATCACCCAATGTTAGCTGGGTTCCGATGACAAATGAACAGCATCCTTCCTTCACCCACCTGGGCGTCAGGACTCAAGAGCCTTCCTTACTGGAGACACCACTGCACCATCCAAACACGGGGAAGTGCATGACCAGGCACTACACTGCCCTCTCCAAGGCCCAGCCATATCTGATTTCCACGCCCATGTCTTTATCCACTCAAATCTTTCCAATAATAAAATCAGAATACCTGACTATGAGTGGATTAAAGAAATAGGTTTTTTATTTTCTTTAATATCATTACAAGAAGATCAGAGATAGATCTAGGTTTTACATGGAATCCTTCCTTTTCTAAAGGTAAGCACATAATTCAACTTCTTAAAACACTGCTTGGGCCATCAGGCCATCTACTGGCCAAATATGACCTGTGTATGACTTGATTCACCCTTTCTATAATTGTACCTTCAGGATGATCAGGCAGGGCGATGAGCTTACAGTTCCGGGAAGGAATCGAGTTCCTCACCTCACCCCTTCCAGGTGCTGCTGCTGTTCCTTCATTCCCACCAGTTCCCTTAGCTGATACTGTTTCTAACTATCACCTAATGCCTCAGCAGGTTCTAGTTCTGCCCACCTCCCTAGGCTTTCTTTGATGACTTAACAGAAAGGCAGTGATAATTAGAATAGGTAACACTTGTTGAATAATTATGTGCTATCGGTATCTATGCATCATCTCATTTGGTCCTCGTAATTAACCTATGAAGTATTATTTTTTAATTATTAATATTATTACCGCCATATTTAAAGATAAAGAAACTAAGGCACAGAAAGACTCGATAACTTATAAACAAACAGCCTACTAGTGGTAGATCTGGAACTCCAACATAAGTATGTCTGATTTCAATGCCCATACCTTTAACTGCTATCTCAATTAAGATGCTTTGGGTTGTAAAATCAGAATACCTGACTACAACTGCATTAAACAAAGGGGGCCTCATTTTTTATAAGAAGACCAAAGTTAGATGATTACAGAGTTAGTTCAGCAATTCAACATCTCTGACATCCCCCCTGTGTCGTGTTTCCTCAAGGTTACAAAAAGCTTGCAGCAGCTCCAAGCACAGGTCCTCACACAGCAGCTTCTCAACTTCACCCAATAGCAGAGCGTTCCTCTTCAGGTCTCTTTCTTACCAAGTAGGAAAATCTGCCTCCAAAACCCCAGGTTAAGTGTCAACCTATACTTCATTTGCCAGAATTGGGTCACATGCTAACCCTAAACCAATCACTGGCAACAGAGAAGAGAATTAGTATAACCAATCATGATTCAGTCCCTGGAGCAGGACACACAGCCACATAATTGTTAACACATAGTTAACAGAGAAGAGGGGGACATTGCTGTAGGGCAGCCAGGCAAAAATGTCTGCTCCAACTACTGGGAATATGTGAATTGTCTCCCACGATCCAGTAAACTATCCGAAAGCCATAACAAGTAACAATAACAGAACAAGATAGTTGTTACCACATATGTTATGAGGCAGGAATAAGTACTGGTTCTTTTACTAGAAACTTCCATGACCCAGACATCCCATCTCCTAGGAATTCTAGGTCACTCAGTGTGACTATCATCCTTTGTACTTGCACACTGCAGAGCACAATATGGCAGAAGTTGGTGCTCAATAAATCCTGATAAAGCCTGAGAACTGACTTAAGTGGTTAAGCTGTGTTATTGTTCCTTTCATGGCAGGATTCAGTAACCCATGTCTACAGGGATAATGAGAGGTAGTTATAAAACATGACCCAGTGATGCAAGGCCCTTACTTCTGCCAAGTCCCTTCACTATCTGGCCCCTATTCAAGGGCTCCAAAATGTCTTGGCAGCTCAGCCCACCCTCAGCTTACCAATTAGAAGGTCTTTCACGACTCCTTTATCAACTGAAAAACTTTTTTTCATTTATTTTTTTATCCTAAATCTCCAAAACAACTTTCCGAAATGTTGAACAAGATGGCCTTATCTAACATTGCTCCATCGGTCACACTAACGTTACAGGACTTGTCATCAGCTGAAATGGCCTTGGTTACTTGCTTATTGTCCATCTGCCCCTACAATGGACAGTCCCTGAGAGCAGAGACTTATCTGCCTATTTTTTCATTGCAATATCCCCAGTGACAAGGACAGAGCCTGCTCAGAGTGGCCCTCAATAACTACTTGGCAAATGAATTAATAAATTCTTAAACAGTCTTTAGAGTCAAAATATAAGTGTCTGGACACTAGTTTTGTCTGGGATCTTTAGAGTTTTGAACGGCATCACTCTGGTTCACACCCTCTGATAAGTCAATTAAAAAAAAAAAAAGAATTAACCTACTGACTTGGAAATACTACTAAATACCTTTTCTGTATAACTCTTCTCAGTTCATGTGCTTATAGAATTGATAAGATTGCATCTACGGTCAAGGGAGACTCTGGAAATAGTTTGAAATGCTTTGAACTTCCTGCACAAACAATGCCCATTTGTTTTCCTTCCTAAATCTTACCAAGCTGGGGAATAAGTTTCATATCTGAGAATATTCTTTCTGTCACTTTCGGAACACTTTATTTCTCTTGCAGTCTAGTTCACTTTCATTCCAACAGAAGATGAAACCTTCTTATTTATTTTCCAAGATACTTCCCATGGCTTGAAAACCTCTCACCATAAAAAGTCAAGTAAGAGAAAAAAATAAGAAGAGTTATAGTGACTGTGAATGAGAAAATTACCATTTTACTGTTCTCTGTGTTCTAACTTGGGAAGATGTAATCCTGTGGACTGAACGCTCCATCTCACTCACTCTGGAATGTGCTTTGCAACCACCACAGCAGAGGGATCTGATCCTGGTCTTTCCATTCTATTAACAGTTTGCACAACTACTAACAGAAAAGCCTTCTCAGAAATCCAAAGCCACAAGTCAGTACATCAGCCTCTATTCCAGTAAATGCAGCAAAATAAGTTTATTAAAATAGTACAAATGACTAACTGCGGTGCTACACATGAACTGTGGGAGAATGTTCTGGATGTTTCTATTCTCTTACAGAAATAACGTGCAAGTAGCACCTCTCTCTCCTTTTATGAGTTGTTGTCAGCATATAGTTATGTCCATTAATTTTTCCTTTAACAAATCCACTTGTCTCTGATATCTTCTTCCTTTCTTAAAAAAAAATGTTTAAAAGACATTTGCCTTTATTTACCTTTTTACTATTGCTTCATGCACTAATTGGATGATAATGATTATGATGTTAAAAAAGCAAAACCACCAGGTACTTAGCATTTATTTTGTTTCAAACCCTATTTGTTTAGTCCTCACAACAACTTCGAAGATAAGAGATTATTATCTTCATTTTACAGATAAGAAAACTAAAGTTCAGAAGGTAAAGTGATTGCCGAAGGCCACACATCCAATAAGCCTCAGAACCTGGATTCCGATCCAAGTTAAGTGTGGCTGGAAGCCCTGCCCTCTCTAGGACAAAATCACACCCCAGGATGGTGCTTCTACTTACAGAGCCCTCACTGCCAGCACTGTGCTGAGCCCTTCAGCGACATTTTTTATTTATTCTTCAAAGTAAACTTACAAGGTCCATATAATTATTTTACCACAATAAAACTGAACATAGAAGTTAAATAACTTGATCAAAGTTAGAGCTCCTAAGGGCAGAATTGTGATGTAAATTCTGTCCCAACAACCTCAAAGCCTACCCCACAGGGCACCTGGCATAGAATATTCTCCAGTTTTATGAAGAATTTCCTCCTGTCCCCCAGCAACAGTTTAATAAAACAGAATTTTCAACATGACAAGAAAATGATATAATATTTATCAAGTAAGAATGTTCTGAGTTACACCACTAAGTGTCAGACCCTCATAAGGCTATTATATAGATACTGAAATACATAAAATGAGGAAACTCTTAGATACTGAAGAGGAGATCTGGATTGTCTACATTTAGCTTCTTTTTAGTCATTGAACCATGCCTAAAAGTTCTGTTTTAAAACCAAGACTACTACCTAATTAGTTTTGATATTAAAGCCAAACTCTCATCGGTGGTCCATTCTATAACCAAATGCATGATTCTTCCCAGAGAAAACCCCTCAAATATCTTAGGCTAGATTCTTCAAACTCTCCCGAATTATCAAGTAGAGTAAAAACTTGGCCAGAACTAAATGGGAATTAATGCCCAGCACAGTATTGGACATAACTGAATGTTTATGGAATGATTAAACATGCCACAGATGAAATATCAAGATGTCAATGCAATTTGTGTAAATTTTAATTGATTTCAAACTTATAAAAAGTTACAAAGTGGTACAAAAAAGTTCCTACACATTTCTACCCAAATTGGTACTTAACATTTTTCCCTATTCACTTTATCATCAATGTAATTTTATAAACATGATAATGCATAATAAAGCAATTTTGTAGTTTCTTATAATTAATCAATATAAATTTAAAATGATTTAAACCCAAGCTAAAGGGTCAAGAAGTCTAAATCTTACTCCTTTACACTGGAAAGCATATTTGAGCCAAATCTGAAGCTCCATGGTCATGTTCCTATGGTTCCTCGAGAGGGCTACCTGCGTGGGCTTTTTTTGGGTAGGGAGAGGCGGTTGGTGATGACTGGTGCATGTGGTACCAAAGCCGTGAAGAGAAGGACTAAAACACAGTCCTGGCACAGAGTGAAGCATACCTAGGCACAGCCTCGTTGGAGGAGACCCGAGTAAACGCCCTTCCCTAAAAGAATGCTGCACATGCTCTTCACACTGATGAATCAGAGGCATGGCAGCAAGCAGCCGCGTTCCCAGCCCCTTCAGCTTGTCTCTGGTTGCCTTCAGCTCCAGTCAGTGCCTTAGAAATGCTTTATGCAAAACAGTCACAGAGAGATGGAGTACAGCATAGGGAATATAGGCAACGATATTGTAATGGCTATGTATAGAGTAACCGGGGGATCACTTCATCAATTATAGAAATGCCTAACTATTATGCTATATATTTTTTTAAAAAATTAGTTTTTTAAAAAATATATATATTGTCAATGCTTTTGCTTTCTGTCAATACAAATATCTGATGAAATGTGAACTAAATTTTACATATGTGAGGAACGCTCACATTAACATTGTGAGCATTTTTTTAAAAAATATATATTGTCAATGCTTCTGCTTTCTGTCAATACAAATATCTGATGAAATGTGAACTAAATTTTACATATGTGAGAAACGCTCACATTAACATTGTTTTTACCTTCAAAAAGAAAAAAAATAAAAGAAATGCTTCATCCCAGTGTCCATTTACTGGATTCCCTCAGTAAATATCAGTCAGGGAAGTCACATGAAGAGATTGCTCCAATTCACTCTTGCTAGTGAGCTTCCAAGGGTAAAATAATATAGTCCGCTTCTTCTCAGTCATGAGGAAACCATTGTCACTGAACCTCCCTGGGATGCTCCCTACATCCAACCAAACAAAGGGAGCGACAGCCGAGGTTTCCAGATCAAACACAAATGCATCCTCTTGCTGAGAGATGATAGCCTGAAAGAAAAAGAGAAATGAAGTGAAGGATAAGGGAAGAGCTTTCTGTCAGAACGTTTACGTGGGCCTAACCAGGAGTGCATTTGCTACAACTGTGGTTCTGCAACTGCCAACGTCATATATTCCATGCACTGTGACAAATACTAAAAAAATATATGGTAATTTTTTTTAAGGCTGTGGGAAATTATGAAATTGTAATCTAAAACCAAGTGTAGATATACAGAGTCTCCTATTATTATGGAGAATATTTCACAAGAAGCTCAAAGCTTGGTATCTTTTAGAGTTTTTCTCAGGGTATCGAAAGACAACTATTTTTGTATAACTGCTGGGCCATTTAATGACTTTCTCAGGATCCATCTGGAACCAGCCGCAGAGTGGTGCCGACCTCTGAAACGATCCTGCAATCTAGGCAGTAGTCTTCCAGGCATTTGCAAAAGCTCTAGCATTGGAGTTTTCTCTCTTTTATTGCATAGTACTGTAAAGTCACATTTCGAGCACTTTTAACATGTGTGAACCCCACATGATATCAGCAAAGGGGAGAGTAGTTTAAATCTTGTCATTAATTAGCCAATCAGCACACGTCCTGAGTGAGGCTGAGCTGCACCCTAGAGGGTGGGGATTTGCGCGCCTCTCTTAGTGTCAGTATGGACTGAGCGTGACCTGGTCGTTAAAGCTTTGTGTTTGTCATGAAACATGACTCCTCAACATGCCACACTGTAGTTCTAACATTATATGATATATGTGACATAAAGAATTTATGAGGGAAATTTTCACTATATATAATTTTAGCCTTACACACTTGTACGATCACCATTCCGAGTGCTGAGTTATAAACAAGAAGAACTTTTTTGGTAGAAGCAAAAAAGAAAATTAAGTGTATTATTAGGTAGCTCTCAGAGGGTCAGAGAGTCAGACTTGAAGCTAAATGTCAAATTCCCAAATTCTCAAGCAGTTGCAGGCATGCACTTCACACAGCTGGCCCCAAACTACCCACAAGGCTGCCAGGGAGGCCTCAGCTACTGCTGCGCGAAGGCAAAGGCCGGAAGAGACTCTGGCTCCTGCTCGTTCTTGTTGACTTCTGATTGGAACTCTCATCTCCATATATCTGACTGCAGAGCCCAGGACTCCCGCCTGACCCCTGGCTTCCGGGAGGCAGGGAAAGCAAGTTTCCAGCCTAGTCTGGTAAGCTTGCGGTAAATGTTAACTATTATTATTATTACTATTATTTTCCTCTAAAAGGGTAAGTCTCATTGAAATTCAAATGAGGTAAGACAAAGAAGGAGTCCAATTCTCTCCCACTCCCAATTACTCCAAGGTAATAAAGACCTAGTTAAAGAAAGAAAAAAATTGTTTTCAAAATCCTAAGTCTAGAGACCACAAATTTGTCTCCTAGTTTTTGGTTTTTTTCTCTTTTCTGGAAAGAAGCTATGTAAATGTATGCTATATCCTTCATATTTGTTTCGTATCAGTTATTACAGACACCTTAGATTTCATTAAGTGAATATTTCATTATTAATTGGAAAAGAAGATATGTTTTCAATTCAAGGATTAAGAATTTTTATAAAGTAAATGTAAAAATATCCGCCAACTTCAACCTTCTCAATGAAGTAAAGTGTAAAACAAATTTAAAATTCACTAAAAATAGAGAATGAAACTTCCTAGAAAAATATTTTCAATCATAATGTGTAGGAGGAAAAAGGAAAGGTTTTCAATTGACTATCGATTCCAAATTCTCCAGCTGCACAATTTTTATAACACATCCTGATCATGTCATTTTTTTTCCTGGCAATTATAGAGATCTGTTGATTAAGCTACTTTGAAGCAATTAATCAGAGTATAGACTAAAATTTTAAAAATTAATAAGCTCTACTTAAAATCTCAAAATTGGAATGCTTCTACTGGGCTCTGGCACTTGCTAGCTACAGGACCTTGAGCTTGTTACTCAGCCTCTCCAGACTCATTTTCTCATTTGTAAATGATGATAGTACATCAGGGTTGGTACACTAAAAGCACCCAGGACAGAGCCCGGAACTTAGCTGGGGGACCAATGGTGATGACCCTGCTGCCTCTCCCTCCATTGCACCAGCCCCGCTAGGGTGAAGTAATGGGACAGCAGAAAGAGCACGAACCAAAACAAACGATGAATTAGAAATAAAAACTATTTGGTCTTAGCTTCCAGTGGCAAGGGGACAAAATTCCCCAGGCCTTGGGTAAACTCAATTCCAAGGAGAAGTTCTTCAAAAAGCAAGATGCAATGTGCCTGCCTAAATGCGTAACAGCTTCACAACACCACAGTGACCCCAGCCGACTGGTACTTACAGTGATACGTGCCTTGTGAAGCCCAACGGCCTCCTTCAGTGAGGACAGGAAGTGATAGTTGGTTGAGCTCAGAAGTTTGCTGTCAGTTGACAGGTAAAAGGAAACCACACAGCTTTGCCGAGTACAATTCCCACATCTCAGCAGTTGAGACACTGGCTCCTGATAGAGGCGAACAGCCTCCCCTGCTTTTATCACAAAATGTTTGGTTACATGAGAACACAAAGGCTTTAGGGAACTCCATGAGTGGACTCTCACCTACAGAGAAACGAGACAGAACAAAAAAAAAAAAAAAATCTTGGTTATTGTTTTTATTTTTAGAGAATAATAGTAGTAATAATCAATGAAAGTCACAATAGCAGGAGTGGCTAAGAGACTATAAAACCTGAGTTTAACCTCAGCCCCATCAAGTACTAGTTATGTAACTAAGCAAGTTACTCAACTTCTCAAAGTCGCCATTTCTTCCTATGTAACATGAGAATAATAAAAGTACTAACTTCACAGGCTGTTGTGAGAACCACATAAAATAATCTATGAGAGGCACAGTTCCCGGGGCATTGTAATTATTCCATAAACATGACCTATTCTCAACGTCCTCCAAATTGTAGCTAACCAAGACTACTTTGAGTTTTTACTCTCTCTTTTTACCTAGCACTGTTTTAAATACAAGTTTATTTTTCTACATATGCATTCTGAATAATTTTACTGATTTATACTTTAACATGCCATTTTTTAAAATTTCTTTTTATAAATTTTAGGCTGTTTCCAGCTTTTTATGATTATAAATCAACTTTCATTCAAGTGGCACTTTACGGTTTATAATTCACTTCCATCTAATTCTTTTATTCACTACCCACAAAATCCTTTAAGAAGATTGGCTGGTATCATTTTACAGATGAGGAAGTTGAATCACCAAGACATCAGGCTTAAGATTACAGACTAAACAGCAAAGTTTTACCCTGAAGTATTCTGACTTCAAGGACAGCCCATTTTCTGCTACAGGCACTAAAAACATTTTGATACAAATTAGTTTCTCTTTTCTTTTTCCCAAAAGAAATAGAACCAAATAACTAATAATCTAAAATTCTCTCTATCATAAAAGAGGAAAAAAAAGCCAAGCGACTTACAGTGAGCATCACGGTACAGTCCAGGTGAAAGTCTGATACCCCATAGACGAAAAACACACCTTGATTCTCAAAACCCACGGGCAACAGCGGAGCGAAGAAATGCCGAGCGAAGTAATGCAGCATTTTCCACTTTCCTCCATACTCTAAAAATAGTCAAGAAAGTTAGGAGATGGGCAGGGTCACCAGTCAGTCATCATCCACATGGCCCCCTGTGTGACTTGTCATGATTCTAGAAGCTGAGTGGAGGGGGAGGAGACAAAACATGGGTGGGAACTCATGTTCATTAAGGGCTCTGAACATTTTGGACATTACCTCATGTCATCCTCACATCTGATGGAGACAGGCATTAACATCCCGCTTTTCAAGGGAGGAAGCAGAGGCTCAAGCAGTTAAGTCAATCATGCCACAGGTAGTATTTTGAACCCAGACCTGACTCCCAGCTAGCACTTTCTCACATGCTATTCTGCTTCCAGAAGCTCAATGTACCAACACTCCTTTTTGTTGTGTATACATGAAGAAGGAAATCAGTAGCACTGGCAGCGAATGCCTGTTACAAATATTCATTTGTAAGAGTGATTTAGAGCTCAAAGTCTCCCTTTCCTCTGGGCACAAGTCCTCTGAGCGGAACAAAACGACCGTGATCACTAATATGGCTGGCAAGTTCAGACTGGAGGAGAATATCTACACTGATGACAATTAATGACAGTTCCTCAAATACAACTAGAAGCTGTAGAAAATCTGTCGAATTCTGTGCCCTGTTGCATGGGCATAGTCTAGTATGCTAAACCCACAAACTAAAAATATTTCCACATGCCTCTAATTCAAACAGAAGATCCTACCCCACAAAGCACTGTATCACCAAACAACTTCTGAGAGAGAGAAACTACAGAATTCACAATGTAAAGTTGAGATAGAACTAATTTTTAAGGTTTTGCAAAATTTCAACTTTCAGTATTTCAATCTCAACTCTTAGTAGTTCCCCTTAAAAACAACAATGGGGGAGGGGTAGAGAGGCCTTTCCTATTAGATTTATAAAATGAACTAGAACTTATGTTTGGAAAGTTTTCTCATAAATAGAAGGTGGCTCATAACTGAAGTAACTTACATGCTCTCATGTGTGCTATCCATTACAGGAAAAAAATTTCTAATGTGTAGCTCCATTGGTCAAGGCCACACATAGACTACACTCAAGACAACAGTAATGAAGCAGAATATCTCACTGGTAAACACCCTAGTTACTTATCAGTGACAAAGCATGGATAGCAGCATAATACTCTGCATAACCAACTAAAATACGATGCAAAATCTGGCTTTGCCATTAGCTCTGTAATTGTTTAAGTTTATGAGCCAAGTAAACTGCCCAGTAGATTTCTGTATTTGCAAAATTATAACTCCAAACAAGACTAGTTTTTTTTTTTTTAAGAAATATATAAGAACCCAAAGAGTCCAAATAGCTACTGATCCCTTTAAAGTATTACCATTTCAGATGGTAAGAGGTGACATATACCTCCCCTACCTGCACATACTATAGTACTAGATTTATTGAGGCAATTAAGAGAATTAAACAGAGGCTAAGAGGCTGTCCAAAGCAGGACAAGACATAGCATAACTTGTCACAGCTTCTCCCTGGGACCTAATTTGCCTAACAGATATGAGAAGATGGTGACCCTGTCCACAGAGGCCCCACAAGAGTTTAGAAGACAGACCAAGTTTTGCTCTGCCATCAGACTCCTATACTTGGGTTTACCCACCTTCTCTGAAGAACTCATTCAAATAATCTGCATGCAGTCATTTCAGAGAAGTTTTAAAATTTGGGCTCTCCCATTTCTTGAACCAAAGTCAGCCTCAGAAGTCCACAACCTCGTCCACAGGCAGAGACCAGGGTTAGCATCCACGTGTCTTTGAACAATATCTCTTTGTCCGGTGTTTAGTGTTCCAGAAGGCTACTTCCCCAGAGTCTACCCCTGATTCTCATCCAATACCCTTCTATCTAGTTAGTGTTGATAAAGAGTTTGGCCAGAGAAACTTGATCAAATACCTAGCTTCCTTCAAGAGGGGACGTGGCACTAGTCAAAGGCTGCAGTGAACAGCCTTTGGATTTACATCCAGTTTAAGAGCCTCAGCCAGAAACATGACCTTTTTACTTTTACAAGCTTGCCTCATTTTTGACCCAAAATTTTTCTGTATATTATTAACTGAACTTTGCTTCAAACCATCTCTGGTAAAGGTTGAAGATTTATTATTACTCCTTAATTTTTTAAATGTATCAAAATAGAATAATTGAAACTGTAAGTGCCGTGCCAGTCACCTCGCCTGTTGCTAGTTGAACTGGTTCAACTTAGAATCTTCCTACTTGGATTTCTGACTCTACTACCTTTCCCCCAAGAGATAAATAGAGCAAAATAAACAGGACTTCATGGATGTAAAGGGAGTCAGGGAAAGTGACATTTTAACACTTAGAAGGGCCAACCTTCCATGTGGCTGAATTCTCCTAAACAGAAAGGAATCTTAATGCTCCTTTTGCCCTGGAAATTCCTCTTAAATAAATTCAAATCGAAGCAATAATCATAAGACACGTGGCTGAGGTCCCTGTGCATAAATGCCTTGGCCTGCTCTGTGACTCTGCACAGCACAGAACTCTAACGAGGCTGCCTCTAAGGCCCCTGGAAGGGCTGATGGTGGGTTGCGGGAGCTGAGGTGGTTTCTAGACAAGCTACTGGCGAACCTCCTCTCTACCTCTGTTCTTTCTCAGTGCCTCTCCCCACAGGTATTACTTTCTCTCTAACACACAAAGAATGCTGAAACACTTACCTAGAGAGGCCCAGGAAGGAGCCTGCCAGATGTCATTCAACTGCCAATACAGTGCCCCCATGGTGTGCCCTTGTGTGTTCACTATCTCGCTGCGACTGCGGCGGTAGAATTCAGTTTCTATTTTGACACACTGGGCCTGCATCACCTGATTCGTGGAGAAACATTAAAACACAGGTGTTATTGTTTGATGTAAGCTGTCCAGATCTGAGAAAATGACAGGACTTGAGGGGTATTTTTTTCAAGCAAGTTGGATAAATTTGGGAATTTGATTAGCATTATATATTCCATTATTATACTGGATCTGGAACTAGCCTCTTAGCTTGAGAGAAGCTGTTGTCTATAAGAGCTGGTTTGCTTTAGAGGCGTGCTGTTTGATTTATTATAACAATGGGCGATCAAGAAAACAGGACGGTGTAAAAGGTTCTTTGCTGATGACAGCGTAGGCAATGACAGGAAATGACTTGTTCTGGAGCAAATGCTATATGTAGTCAAATGCTAAGTTTTTTGCAGTGATGAACCTTTTCATTAAGTTTTATTAGAAAAAAATTCTATGGGAAAAATAACTTTATTATGAGTCTGATATTGTCTAATCCCTAACTTCTTTTTTCTAGTCAAGCAATTGTTTTTATATCATAACTGTTGATAATGTAAAATTTCTTATGACTGCAATTTCTTCATGATAGCAGAATAGATAGCAAATTGCGGCAATGAGAAAAGTGAATTTAGTTCTTGTTTAAAAGGCACTAAAGAACGTAATACAAGGCCCTTAATTATTGTCATCGTCACTGAAAAATCAGTCTCTTTTATTGCTGTTGTTACTGAAGCTGTGTGTCACATGTCCTTAGCTTGGAGTTGTAGTTAGGAGAGGCTCATGGATGAGAGATCATTAGGAGAGGTCACCAATGAGAACCTGGAGAAATGGTCAGAGCTGCAAGGATTCCTCAGAGAAAAAGACGGCCTTGGAGCAGGGTCCGGATTTTCCCAGAAAAAGAAAAAAAAAAAAATGCATGTATGGCCACTAGAAGACTAAGCTCAGATGCTTACCTATAAAGCTGGAAAAGTTCTGATAAAGGTAGGATCTGAAGATAGAGGTAGGCAGGCTAGTGAGGAAGTCATAGATGAAATTATGACTTAAATGAGGCAGAGCCATAAAATTCCAGAAGGGTAACACAAAGAGAAATCATGGTCATTCAATAAATATTAATAAGCACCTACAGTATGTGTTACATGCTGGCGATGGTAAGCTCCTCTGCCGGCAAAGACAGATACAGCCCATCCTCATGGAACTTATTGGCTTGTGTACAAGATATGCCTAATCAAAGATTCACACAAATGAATGTTAACTTTAAACAGGAAAAGTGCTAAGAAGGAGAGGTGTACAATGTTAGGAGCTTGGACAGTAGAGACAATGGGCTTAGCTGACGGGTGAAGATTGTCCTCAAAGAAGAGCAGAGAGAGCAGGACCTAGCAGCCAGAGAGGACAACATGTGGTGAGAGGAGAATGCACAGGTGAAGAACTACAAGGCCAAGGTGGGGGAGCACAGAGAGCTGGGAATGATGGGAGAGAGGCCGGTGAGATGGAAGCGGCAGACCTGGGAAGGTTTTGGTGCACAGCCTAAAGGCAACTGGAATCACAGGAAGCTTTCATGCTAAAGGATGAAGTGACCAGATTTGTATTTCCATAAGACAACTCTGACTACTAAAGGCAGAACGGCCACAGTAGATATAAGGAGACCATTTAGACAGCTCTTATAATCTTCCAAGCAAGAGATAATGTTAGCTCCGAGCAGATAAAGAAATTCCCTTCTCATTCAGGAACCAAACCACTGGGACTACAGCAACGACTACAGGCAAATATGCTCTAAAGGAAGTAAGAATCTCACCAACAGAGCAGCACTGGTGTCAATTCGAAATGACCATGGATGCAGTCTGAATATTTTCATCTAACACTGAGTCAGAGGGAATGAAACAGAAAAAGAGACCTAAGAATTCTGATTGTCAGTCAGGCTAATCTGCAATTAGACTCAGCATCTGTGGCCAAATCCCTTATAAAAATAACAGTCCTGCTTGAACTAAAACCGAAGAAGAAAGATTTATCTACTTCCAGGCCTGGATTGTTAGGCACAGAGAAATTAAGTCCTTTGAGTAAGCATTCACAGGTTTGTTGAGTTATTGTGCAAAATCAGTGTTGTGGAGCAACTTCTAGAAAGTTCAGTGAAGATGAAGCAGTCAAGAAATGAATATATGCCCACTAGAGGATCTTAGCCCACATCAACACAGAAAGTAATCTTTACATTTGTTTAAAAGAGTTGATAATCTGAACTCATTTAAATCACCCTGAGCTTCCAAATAAATACCCCCACTAACCAAGCTTAAATTGGCCTTTGGGCACAAAACTCAAGCCAGCCACAGTCCTTGCCCCTGCAGCACACATACCTGAGGCCAGAACAACCAGAAATCTCTGTTCTTGTCCTGAGATTCCTGAAAAATCAGCCATTGCTTTCTGGGCTGTGTGAAAAGGGATCACAAGAGGAGGCCTGAGGAGGTCCTCATCACACCAATGCTTAACAACAGGTAGAGAGGGATTCCAGTCACCCTAGACAGCCCAGGAGATGCTGCTGGCCCAGCACAGGCCAAGTTCAGGCACCAAATGGCAATCACCACAGACACCCCACTCTGGGTGCCGGCCCACATTCTGGAACTCCCAGGACCTGAAGTATTCTCAAAGTCTGGCCCTCTCCTCATATACCCAAGGAGCCAAAGAACCTGCAACACTTCAACATTACCCCCAGGAACTTGGCTCAGCATCCACTCACGAGTGTACGGGAAGAGGGGTATCCCAAACTCAAGAAGTTCAGAACTGGAAATGCTCTCCTTGGATCCAGATTTATAAAGTAGGGTGAATAGGGAAAAAGTAAAAACCAGAATTCTGAGGTAGGAACAAAATACTAACATATAACTGAGTAGGAAATAGTCACACTCGTGCTTCTTTAGATCCAATCCAGAGGACAACTCGATACATTACTGATGTTCTTGGTAGAGGTGACCTGCATTTTCTTTTTCTTCATGGTTAATTTAAGCTTCTTTTCAGGAAAAAAAAAAATCTGATGAGCGTCTATTTACATCACCTTAAATTCTTTTCCAGCCTTCATTAACATATATTACAACATATATATTTGTAATTTTGTGTTCTACTCTTACTTAATTTTCACATATGTACATTTCCATGAGCTGGCACTTTCTATATATCTCTGTGCTTTGAGTGGTTATATAGTTATATCACTTTTGATTAATCTTTCTCCAATTATTAGGCATTTCAACGGTTTTGGTTTTTTTTTAATACAAGAGTTAAGAACAGTTTGTTCCAATTAATTTCTTCGCTTCTTGCATTGCTTCTTTTGGTGATAATATATGATAAATTTCAAAGTTTTTGTTGCATATGACTATATTATAAACCAGTCAAGAGTTTGCCATGAACTGGTGGCCTCCATGCTGAACTCAGCTCCACGCAGGTTTCAATTGGGCCACACAGCGGGTGTTGTTTGTTTTTTTGTTTATGTTGTCATTGTTTAATGTCTTAAGTCAGGGCCTCCACATTCCATTTTGCCACGACTCCCAATAATCATACTCTCATCTATTTAAATCACCTGCCTGTTCCCTATAAACATTTGAGTTTTTAGTCCCCAAACTATTCCAATTTTCAGAACTACCTGCAAGATATGTTTATTTCAGTATATCTATTCCAACAAGTTCCTCACTGTAATTTACCTTTTCTGGCTTAATAGGTAAATATTAATAATCCTTTAAATTTTTTAATCTTAAATTTTTTAAAAAATGCAAACAGAACTCCTTACCCTTGCTAGCAATGAAAGGAAAAGAGCACAAGGCAAGCTCTAACTAGCAGCCTATCACACTGAACTTAGTGTGACGGGGGGTAACTGAGATTCCTGAGTGCTCCCGGTTCTGCATGATGCAGTACATGCCATAGACAGATGGTGCCAAGCCAACGACATGGATTTGCGTTTACCCAAACCAGTGGGTGCCCCCGTCAGGGCTAATGAATGACACATTTGTTCATAAAAATGCAGAAGGCCATTGCCCACTATCCTTCTCAAAAGAATGTTGTACAATCCTAGTCCTCTGGAATATCTCTACAATCGCCTCTTTCAACCTTTAAAAATTGTACCTATATTTATACTCTCATGCCCACTTTCCTAAAGAGGGCAATCTTTACATATTAGAAGGATAAATGCTTAGTCATTTCCAAGGTTACTCAGTCCCATTGTTAGCAGACAAATCTTATTTTAGTTTCAAAAATATGCCTATTTTCAGCAGCTTGCCTGATTACACTTATGAAATCAGTCTCCTTAGAGAAACAGATGGTATGGTAAAAAGAAATTGGACCAGAACGCCAAGACCTAAGGTTCTAATTCCAGCTTTGCCTCTGTGATGGAGGTTGCTAGCTGTCTACAAAAACCTATCATCCCCTTCCTGCACAGTGACAGAGTCGTAGCTGGGCTCTATTCGTGGAACTAGGAGTAGTCATGTGTCTAAGTTCTCCTGAAAGACGTGATTTATATTCTTTATTTACTTAAAGTTATCCTGACAATAAGAATCTTCCAATAAAGCCATTTTTCAAACTAAGATATAATTCACACCATGTAATTCACCCTTTTAGAGTTTTACAATTCGTTGGTTTTTAGTATAGATATAGGTTGTATACTACCTAATTCCAGAATATTTTCATCACCCCCCCAAAAAACACTGCACTGGTTAATAGTTACTCCTTATTCTTCCCTTTCCTCTGCTTCTGAAAACAACTAATCTGCTTTCTGTCTTTATGGATTTGCCTACTCTGGATATTTCATAAAAGCGGAATATGTAATATGTGGCCTTTTGTGACTGGCTTTCTTCACTTACCATATTTTCAAGGTTCATCCACGGTGCAGCATGTATCAGTAATTCATTCCTTTTTATTTCTGGATAATATTTCATTGTATGGATATACCACATTTTGTTTATCCATTCATTAGGTGATAAACATTTGGACTATTTTAACATTTTGGCTATTATGAAAAATGCAGCTATGAACATTTGTGCACAAGTTTTCATGTCAACATACGTTTTCTATTTTCTTGGATATAT